AAACACGTTAAATCCATATATTTCTCGTTAGCTGTTTTCTCATTTGAAAAGTTTACTTTGGATTGTGTCAACATTTCATCGTTTCTTTCTTCATTCACTTAGAAACTACTCTATTTTTGGCACTCACCTTTTTTCGTGTGTACGATTTTTTTCGGTTTTTTTCCGCAATGATAATAGTGATTGACACAGAGGAATCAAAGGTATTAACATTAGTAATATTGGCTTCCACTGCAGCTCTTAGTTCCACATACTCTTCACTTGACTTACTTCACTGTCTTTTTCCGTTGAGTCACCATGATCTGTATTAGGCATTTTTGATATTTTGAGAAAAGACAAATCACATATTGCTTCACCTACCACTAAGGTATCGTCTCTGTTATTTTTCTCTTACCCACCCAACGTGCGTGATTACCAAGTCCGAATGGATTACGGCACAAAAGCCTAATGAACATATTAACAATCTTCGGCATTTTTTAACATGATATATCTCTAAACAGTTACACAAGAAACCAAATCCGAAAGCTAGGCGTGTCAAACTGCGCCAGCACGTCGCCTGCGCTACACTGATGTTTGTGATAATTGAAACACCAAGAAGGAGACATACTATTACAATTAAATTTATTCCACAGATTAGGAATATCACAATATACAAATGATTCGAGTTACAGAACTGTACCTGCATTTTGTCCTTGAGAATTTAGTATAGTGTGAAGCCGCCACGCGCTGCCATCAGTAGTAAAATATGTACTATACAACGTCAATATATGTACATAAATGTGTAATATAAACAGTAAGAATATGAAATAAATATGTAAAATAGGATATAATATGTAATATTAAAATACTCTAATTATAAAACCCATTAACATAATACAAAATTGAATCTATAACAAATTTTAAAAGAAGAAACATACTTTTTAAAAATTATTTGAAGAGTACAAGTTGATGCACAATTATCAACATACAACTTGCCCGCCAGTAGTAAAAGCTTCCTCTATTGTTATGCAGGCCCGTAGTTTAGCAGCCAGACCAAGGTTCATTTATGTATGGTTACATGCACCTTAAACCAGAATTGACGTAATAGAAGCCATCGTATACACTGGCGATATCTATGACCAGCAAACAATTATTGCAGCGTGCAACATTCTCATCTCGAGTGTTACACGTCGGCGATCGCCAAAGTTTCTCGGAAATTAAGGTTAAAGGTCGACACGGTAGTAGGTACGGCGTAGGCGCTGTCGTTGACCGCAGACGGACGGACAGACAGGTTGGCGTTTTGCCGTCAATCACCTTTTCGTCGTCAAGGACCCACAAAACATGGATTCTGTCAATATAATTTTCTATAAGCTACATTAAATAGCATACACTTCCCACTTAAAGTCGTGGTAACTAAGTAATTCCTTGGCATTTTAAGATCCCCTGGGTTCCTTAGACTTCCACACGGGACTGATAAGTTATTTTTCTGCATTTACTATCAGTAATGCTAAATTACTCCATCGTAATTTGCAAATTGTGTGTAGAGCTAAATACAACTTCTGGTCAATCTTAGAGAACGGGATATTTCTAGTCTCCCGCAGTCGCGTATCTGCCTGGAAGTTGCAGTCCCCCACACGTCGACGCTCCTGGCTGCCCACCCGTCTGTCTGGCGACCGACGCCTCTGGCCGCACCGCCCCTTCTCTGTTAGGCACCCGACAACCCCGCCCACGTCAACGCCGCCTACGGACACCCAATCACTAAGACAGTTTCACGGGCTGCAATCGTTTTTCCACGGTCCGAGATATCTTCAATTTGCTCGCCACTTACAAAGAACTTGTCATAGCCTCCATATCGTTGTTCAAAGCAGACGCACGTCTTGCTAATGTTCCAAACAATCGTGTGCATATTGATACATCGCGAATCTCTCTAAACTATTGTGAATACCACACTAACTGCGACTTCTTACACATGCAATCTTCTCGAAACTAATCGTGTACACCCGTAAATAGCGATCAATAACATTGTAACACATACTACTAAGACCTTTGGAGTGCTACATGACTATCGAGAACTACTAGAACTTCCGGTCTCTTCGTAGAAGTTCCATATCTAGTATCTACGTAGATCAGACCTACTAGAGTCTACTTAGAACAGCCAGCTCTTCTGTTGTCAACGCAGAACTGTTACCGCCTCTTGCTGCCGAATGTCACTCTAGGCACTCACGACCTACCAGTTAAGAATAACTGCTGCCATCCTGATTACATAGATGAGGAACAAGTCAAACTAACTTTCTTCAAATAAATATCCGTGAAGATCAACTAGCTGAATTACTCATAGTAATTTACTTTGAAATTACAAATGCATAGTATTGCTCAATAAATAATTGCACGATAACCAAAACGGAACTCTATCAACAATTAACTTCCTTGGTGTAAAATTAAACAACTGAATCTTAGCTATCTTTATTTTTAATTGGTTCACATTATTGTATTCATTGTATATTATTAATTGCTATTTTTCATTCTCATCTAACTTTAAGTTAACTATAAGCATTTATCGTTTGTATTGTTTTGAATTACAAATCAATTAAAGGAGTAAAAATTGAAATCTATTTTCGGAGCTACCAGTAACCACTCACTCACCCGCCTGTAACTAGGCGGGCTGAGCAGAATCATCTGCCCAGAATAAAACAGCTTCTGAGGGCAATTAACGTGACAGTAGATCGCCTCGAGACGTGATTCCCAACGTCTGGAGGGTACTGACTGTGGATCTTGGCATAGACCCAGAGGTTCCAACCACCACTAGTAGGATTCTGACATTGGGCACTCCGGGAAGTTGGGCTCCCAGGAGAATGGCTGGTTGGTATTTTTCCACCTTTTCGTCCCCTGTTCTCAGAAGGCTAGACCCGTCTTCGCGGCGGACAGTCACATCGATCGACCCCTTCCCGGCTTTTTACTCACAGGTCAGGTTTGAGTCTAACCCCTTCGGCAACGGAGTAAACGGCTTCCATGGACATCACGGTGACCGATTTTCAGAACATCTCCCCTCCCCTTCTATGAAGTTCTTGATCACATCATGACGCTTTATTCTCGCTGGCTTCGTAAAAATGCACTGACCGAGTATGTGATTCAATGAGCACACCGCTGTAGTGCACTCCCTGCAGTATACATCCTCTCTGAGTCTTCCTCTAGTAAGAGTAGTTTTATTATCAGCGGTTTTTGATCTCATTTGGAGTGCAGTGATACAAAGACCCGGTTTCAGAAGATTATAATATTTCAAAAAGACATTTCCAATCGGATTGTTTATATGCGCCTTAACCTCTCTCCTTTGGGGATCCCAACTTCTCGCAAGCTGCTACCTCGTCAACGGTGCATTTCTTCTTGTAATCCCTTAAATCTTGTTCATTTTAGGGCCAGTTGAGTCTCAGTGTTTTCGAGGTCTTTAATGTCCGTTGGAAGAAACTCGGGCAGGAGCTCATCCATCTGCAAATTGGATCAGCATATTTTTTAATCGAAATCATAGGTTCAGCATTATCCTAGAAACGTGTTGGGCGAGCTGCAGCAATCCCAGTCCTCCATATCTCTTGGCCAAGGTGAATAAGCCATCTGCAGTACTCGTATGCAGTTATAGGAACTGTTTGACTGCCACTCTGATTCAACCATCCGCTTCCCTGAGCATCAACATAGCATCGATAAAACCAATTGGTATAGGTAAAATGGCATTATAGGTAGTACGTATGAAGTAATGCCAACATCTGAGTGGGCTTTAAGTGCGCTTTCTGAAACCAGCTCATCCCTGCTTCCATCAAATTCGGTATGAATGCTTTAGATGCGAAGCTGTTCCAGATATAGTAGTTCACTCCCAGGTATATTAGGGTATGATCATTACTGAATCCCACAACCTTTCCAGACAGGGGTTCTCAATCGTTCAAAGGTTGTAATTTGAAATGATGACCATTTCGCGACGAACAATGTCTTTCCGAGAGCCCCAAGATATTCCACCACAATATCAACCAATTCTTGAGCTCCTGGGGCATGTTTTACCAACACCACTAGATCGTCAGCAAATGCTAACACGGACACACTCCTTTCCAATAGCGTGTATCCTAACACGTTTTCCAATTTCTCAAGCAGACACTGCTTAATGAGATTAAAAAGGAGAGAGGACAAGGGGTCCCCTGTTTTACTCTTCTACGAAGTAGTAGCGTAGAGTCCATTATTATATCCAGCCGTTAGAGGGAGTAATTTACAATATACAGGAATACGATTTATCCACTTTGTCTTTACCAGGTCCCGGCAACGGCGCGAAGACTACTAAAATTTTCAAAAAAATGTACATGACCTTAATAAAAGACGTCACTATGTCGAAAAAAAAATATTTGAAAGAAAAATCTCTATATTCAATTTTGTAGCTGCAGGAAGACGCCGAAAATGCAAAATTTTCAAAAATTCAGAGTTAACCCTGAAAATCGGACCTATGCTACTTTTATAAGCGTGTGTTATTCTATTCTTACAAGAAATTGAAAGAAAATAATTGGAGCCGTTTTTGAGAAAATTTTGAAAATGTCCAGGGGCTTCATGTAAAGTACCCCCCAATTTTAAAGACTTTTTTAAAAAATCTCAAAGATTCGACTCGAGACAAATGGACATGGGTTTCTTCAATTTGGAAAAAATCCTATGCATAGTTTAGGCGCTAGTAGTATTCACAGGCACGAGACGGACGATAAGACGGACGGAGAGATGGAGGTTTTGACAAAAAAACAACTCATTTTTAGTAACAGGGGACCCCGAAACGTGTATTTCCGTTGAAATCTCAAATTCCATTTTCCCCGCCACTACATAACTTTTCCTATACTACGAATATTACTTCGTATATTCGTACGTATACGGAAAGTAAAAATTGCCAAAAAATGGTCAGCTGTAGATAGGGTGTTGAAACTCGCGCCGAAGTGAGTACATCGTTTAGGACAAACGTTAGTTCCCATGTAACAGATGCGAGCGCTGCCTTCGCTACTGAAGCAGTGCCTGAATAAGTTATTCGAAGCAAGTAACGATGAAATTTGTATTATCTACTTTTGTGTACTTGCTACACATATATTAACGAGTTGATATGTTCAAGTATTTCACAGTTTCGAAATATCAGTGTTAATTTTTTGTTGTACGTGATCACGAATACTTCTACACATGTGCTTCAGGGGCGCTGCAAACGCATTAAACCGCTGAGTCGACCTAAAACTTTGTATACATTGTGTTGTATGCAAGACCCCTGACTGACAGTTCTCTACGCTCTCTGGTAGAGAGTGTCGTATACCTTTATCCTGAAAGCAGCTAGCTGTCTTGTACGTCGCATCAAAATCCTGTGTATTTATTTACGTTGTTCGCGTGATAAAATGTGAATAACGCCACTTTAGAGCGTGGTAAATTCAGAGTAAAACACATTTAACAGAGAAATTACTCATGCCAGTGGAAATGGAATGTCCTGGTATTACGTTTCATGTGCAATGGAAAAAGAAGCCCGGAACTGTCACCCGTCAAGACGACACAAGCATAGGTCTTTGGGACCCTGATGATTCTACTTTAGATTGGCCAACATTTAAGTCTTACGTGGTGAGACAACTTTTATGTTTCTTTACAAACAATTAATCTTGCTGTATTGCTGTCTTTTTATATATCAAGTTGTCAGGTACCCAGCATTCAATGTTTCGTATTGTATTTTTTTAGATGCAATGCAAAAAGATTTGAAAATGTCAGATTACTGCGTCACGACGCAATTGTATACGTCACGTTAATTATAATAAGAGTTTATTATTTTGTATTGTGTGTAATTGCTCACAAGGTGGCGTTAGCGTGTGATTTGAATGTCGATGATCCTAAAATAAATATATAAATTATTTTTTGTGGGAACTATCTTATTTTGTAACGATTAAAATTAATTCGCCATTATGCAAATTGTTAAACATTAATTCCCCGTGAACTAAAGAATGATCGGTTTTGAATTTTCCAATTATTGTAAAAATAAGCAACATACAAAAATTGTTTATTTTAATAAAATTGATACAAAATGCTCGTAAACATCTTATAAACATTGTTTCCAGCGTAATATTATTTTTCCATGTTATGAAAATGACAGTAAATGGTGATGAATTTTGTACATTCACTTAACAATCTTAATAATACTAATTTAATTTTTTCTGTGGTTCTTTACTATAATACTTACTTTACTGTAATACTTTCTTGTTATTTGCAGTGTCAAAATCTTGGAGTTGCTGACAATTTAACTGTTGCTTACATGGATAGCGAAGGTGATGAGGTGAGATGTTAAATTTTCTTATTCTGAAAGTGCATGGTGTGTTGAAGTGCAGAGAAAAGTGTATGATTAGTAATGGACCATTTTGGTCATTCTAAATTTTTCAGCAGACATTTCATTGTTCTACCATTTTATTATTTCACAAAAGTAGAGTTCATGGTTATTTTCTTTACATAAATATCTCTACATTAAGCAGTTGAATCCATGGTAAAGTAAGTTGCTTCACTGTTGTAGCTCTTAAACAGTTTTGAATTCATTTATGCACAAATGCCAAAGTTTTTATTTGTGTTCAAAATTTCCCAATGTATTCTAACATGTTGGTTATTTCTTCAAAGTTACCTTGCCTACCAATACTTATTGTTTTTAAAATTAATGAATTTTAAAGAAGTGATACAAGAGCACGATGAGTCTTTTAGACACCACGTATGTTTATTCAAATTTTGCATCATTAATAGTGTAGAAACTTCCACAAAATGTAAATACCAATGAACTATATTGTGGATGGGGTATATTATCAGTAATGAACTATTGATTTTCTTGTTGTTATAAAATATTTTAAGGGTGATAAGGCTACATGTTATTTTACAAAATAGTGTTAAAAATGGGCAGAAAATGGGAACAAAATACATTGAACTGAAAATTTTACAATTTTGAAGTAAATTATGTTTGTGGATCAGAGAAAAAAGTATAATATTTAACAATTAATTTTATAAACTATTAAATTGCTAAACTTTCTAGTAGTATTTGCAATAAAAATAAAATATTTTAGTGGTACAGAATTTTGCAAGTTGACTACATTTGATAAATCAACAAGTAGATCAGTGGTTAGAAAATACGAAGTGTTTTCACCTCTAAAAGATGTTGCATCACAAATTAGTTTTAATGGATGTAATCTGAAATTTTCTTCATGACACTCAAAGACATATTTGTTTAAAATTGTTGTTGGTTAAAGGTGGTATGAAATGAAGGTTTTTCACTAAAAATGAAGAAAAATAGAATTATATACATGTGCATTCTAGGATTCACTTGCTCTGTCGAGAACATTAAGTGATGTATCTTGGATATTACTGTGCAGATACCATACAAAAGCTTCCCCTGCTGTTAGGGTGGAACATATTAATTGGAAGTTTAATGAAGATTGTAACTGAGCAAGAATTGCAATCACGCTCAAATGATTTCCTGTTAAAAAATTGTATTGCATCTTGCTGCCTTATAATTGTGGTTTTTTTGGTGTTGTTTTCATTTTTTCTTGTTAATGAAGTTGTAAAAGGAAAATAATTTTATTTGTAGTTTTTTATGCAGAATATTAAAAAAAAAACTATTTCTTTCTTTAATGAAAATTACAGTGCAATATTGTTTTACCTATTATGTTATATTAAAATATTGTGATACAATTTCTCTTGATTTGAAACTTATTTTGACTTTGTTTTTAAAGTATGCATATATATGGATCAGAGAAAAAAGTGTTGTTTTTTCCCCAATTAGTTACACAGTAAAATTGAGTTTGCAATAATCTGTTTAACAAATTGATCCAAAATTGATAGTGAAAGTTAAAAAAAAAAAATGTTAGAAAGACTTAAAAACAGCAAATGATTGAATTTGTACTGAATACAATTTTTAACTTTATTACTTTTGAAATTTTTACATTTTAATGAATGGGAAGAGGTTTTCTGGAGGATTATAGATCTCTTCCCACTTATTATTTAATGCAGACTATCACATGGATTTATTAACATTTTACATTAGCTTCTAGAATTGAACATTGTCTTGTTGCTTGAGAAAGAAGAAATATGAAGATATTTAATGTTCTCGAAGGGGTTGACCTGTAATTTGTGGATGATGATGATGTTTTATGGGCACTTTAAAAAGTGTTCAATATTAGGATGGATTTTTTGAATATTGTTTATGTTAACAATGTTTTTTCTTGTTTTTTCTTACAATTGGTATTATGATTCACTATATATTGACAGTTTAGTTTTATTCATATATAATGTGTTATGAATAGGGAACATGAATGGAAAATACATTAGAATTCTAAAGATAGCAGTGTTGATGAAATAAAAATGGATAACATGGGTATTGGGAAGTTTTAAATTTTACACAATGTTTTAATGAAATACATCTTAAATACTTTCATCTTTTGCCAGTATAAATTGAAAGTGTTGTTTCACTGAATCTTATTATTCAGATATTTCAGGGGAGAATATGAAGAGTTTTGGAGCCAATAGTCCTATACTACTTACAAATGAAATTGAGTTACAAGGCAGAATCAGTCTATAACATAATTAATACTTACGGATTTTGTAACAATGAATTCTGTATTACTCTGTAATTTGTTGTCAAACTTAATTACTGGTTACAAGTTACTACTTATTACTAGTAATACAAACTGAAAGTCTGAGGGTGGAATAAACCTGATTGCAAGTGATCAAAGCCAATTATTGTTCAGTAACATGCGTATATTCCACTGAACTATTGCCTTTGTAATTTGTTGGCAGACTGTAGATGCTCTATATTATTATGCACTTTTCACACATTGTGCTTGATGGGAGAGAAAATATTGCCTAATACAATTTGTGCAATCCAATAGATTGGCAGTCACTATGCAAAATGCCTCTGAAGTTACTATTTGGGAAGCCATTCTCTTGCATATGTGCTTGAAAGAGAACAAGAGAAAGTGGATGGTTAAAAATATATTTATGGCTAAAAGTATTTATTAAGTTAACAAATGTAAGTCAAGAAATGCATTTTCAAAGTTTTCAGGGGCAAGCGTGTTGTTATTTGATAAGCTAAAAATATGATTTTTTGTGCAAGGGGAAATTTAGTTGAAAGTTTAATCAATGAAATGATACACAAAACAGTTCTGTACTGCACAATGTTTAGAACTTAATTCATATTACATAATTCTGCCCATGAGCCATTCCATGTCAAAGCAAACAAAAAAGACCAAAAATGACCTTCATCCC